CTGCGAGTACCACTCACGGAGCTGCTGAGGGGCGGGGACGTCGCGAGAGCGCTGCTGCTGCTGCTGCTGCTGCTGGCGCTGACCACCACCAGTGCCGCCCCTCTGGGACGAGCCACTCCGACCACCTCCACCACCGCCACCCCCGCCTCCGCCACCACTGCCGCCACCGCCACCCTCGCCCCCGCCGCTCCCACTGCCTCCTCCGCCACCACCTCCGCCGCCACCTCCGCCTCCACCGCCGCCACCAGGACCTCCACCCCCGCCTCCACCCCCACTGCCACCCCCACTCCCCCCGCCACCCCCACCTCCTCCGCCACCGCCCCCGCTAGCTCCACCCGCTCCCTTGCCCCCCTTGCTCCTGCCAGAGCGGCGCCTACTGCTGGGGGCAGACGCCGCACCGACCGACTCTAAACCAACTAGGTCGGCCGCAGCAGTAGAGGCGACAGAGGGTAGCAGGGGGGAAGGAGAACACCCCTCAAAGATAGGGGTGCGCGGGTCACCACGAGAGGCCCCTACAGCGACTATGCTCTTCTCGGCCGCTAGCAGGGACTTCTCAAGGAGGTCGACAGTGAGGGTGGTGGGACAGACAGAGAGAAGTTGGTCCCTAACAGCACGAAGGGACTCAGGGAGACGGGTGACTAGAAAGTAGAGGGTGATGTACATGGGAGGGGGGTTTTCAGCAAGGAAGGCAGCAGGAAGCGCAGCTCGGTAGCGAGTGTCACTAGCGCAAAGGTGGGTAAAGAGGTCAGTGACTGTGGGAAAGGCAGCAAGGTCAGGGAAGAGGTACGGTAGCATGAGGCGGCTTATTGTAGCAGTGGAAGGGGAGGAGTAGCGCGCAACTACAGCGTCGTACAAGGCCTGAGCGGTCTTGCACTGACTAAAGTGTGCACGCTCGGAGGAAGGGAGGTGGCGACGCACAGCAAGACGTGCAGCAGCATTGCGTGTGGCCCACTTGGAGAGAACAATGGGGTCAGCATCAGCAAGAGGGGCAGGGACAGCGCTAGAGACAAAGTCAAAGAGAGAAACCTCATCGATCGCATCGCACAGTAAGTACCGCTGTAGGTCCTCAATCCAGACAGCAAAGTCAATGGCGCGACCCTCAGCGTCAAAAGTCAGGACACTGGGGGTGGCCATTGTAGCAGCTGACAGTCTCACCGGGCAGGAAGAGTCGGGTAGCAGAACGACACAGCAACACGACAGCACAGCAGCTGCGCCGGCCCAGGAGCCCCACAGGAGCAGAAGATCGGCTCCTTGGGCGGCTCGGGCGGCTCAGGCGGCTCGGGCGGCTCGGGCGGCTTGGGCGGCTCGGGCGGCTCGGGCGGCTTGGGCGGCTCGGGCGGCTCGGGCGGCTCGAGCGGCTCGGGCGGCTCGGGCGGCGTGGGCGGCTCGGGTGGCTCGGGCGGCGTGGGCGTCTCGCAGGCGGCGCGCGGGCGGCTCACGGGCGGCTCACAGGTGGCAGCACGGGCGGCTGGTGCGGCTCGTGGACAGCTGCACGGGTGGTTGGGGCGGCGAGCGGGTGGCTCACGGGCGGCTGCACGGGCGGCCGAGGCGGCTCACGGGCGACTGGGGCGGCTGCACAAGCTGCTGGGGCGGCTCGCAGGCTGCTCACGGGCGGCTGCACTGGCGGCCGCACAGGTAGGTGCACGGGCGGGTGCACGGGCGGCCGCACGGGTAGGTGTACGGGCAGGTGCACGGGCGGGTACACGGGCGGGTGCACGGGCAGGCACACGGGCGGCTGCACGGGCTGCTCGTCGGGCGGCGCTAGGGCGGCGCGTGGGCGGCGCGTAGGGCAGCGCGACGGGCGGCGTTAGGGCGGGCAGCGGGCAGCGCTACGGGCGGCGCGTTGGGCAGCGCGACGGGCGGCGCTAGGGCGGCTGCACGGGCAGCGCGACGGGCTGCGCTAGGGCGGCGCGTTGGGCGGCGCTAGGGCGGCGCGTCGGGCAGCGCGTCGGGCGGCGCTAGGCTGGCGCATCGAGCGGCGCTAGGGCGGCGCTAGGGCAGCGCGTCGGGCAGCGCTGTGGGCGGCGCGTCGGGCGGCTAGCGCTAGAGCAGGCAGCGGACGGGCGCTAGGGCGTTAGGGGCGGCGCTCACGTTCGAGGGCGGGCGGTGCGCTAGCGACTAGGGCAGAAAAAAAAGACGTTTCGAGGTGGTGGGCCCTAAGCACAGGTCCCACAGGGGAACCTGCTCGATACCATGAGAAGAAATGAACGAGAATGAAATGACTATGAACGAAGTGAGTACAAATAGGAAACCCTAATTGGGTTGTACCCCCTATGGGATACCCCACTATAGCCTACACAGATAAGTAAGCTATATGTTCTGACAAAAAAAGGCATCCACACGTTGGCGCAGTGACATGTTGCGCACAGGCCTATCCTTGCACAGATTCAGGCCAGCAAACACACAAACAAGCGCCACGTGCTGGGTAGTTGTGCGAACGAGGTCAAACCAGCTCCTATGGCTAGGTAATAGGATGTAGTAGACCACTGTGTGAAGAAATAGTGGTAAAAAAAGCATTCAGGCGTTGGCGTAGTGACATGTTGCGCACAGGCTTATCCTTGCATTGATTCAGGCCAGCAAACGCACAAGCATGCGCCTCGAGCTGCATAGTTGTGCTAACGAGATAAAACAAGTTCCTATGAGTAGGGAATAGGATGTAGTATGGAACGGTGTGAAGAAATGATGTTAAAAAGGCATCCAGACGTTGGCGCTATGACATGTTGCGCAGAGGCCTATCCTTGTACAGATTCAGGCCAGCAAACGCACTAACATGCGCCACGAGCTGCTTAGTTGTGCTAACGAGATGAAACAAGTTCCTATGGCTAGGGAATAGGATATAGTATGGAACTGTGTGAAAATAGAGTGGTTAAAAAGACATCCAGACGTTGGCGTAGTGACATGTTGCGCACAGGCCTATCCTTGCACAGATTCAGGCCAGCAAACGCACAAACAATCGCCACGTGCTGCGTAGTTGTGGGAACGAGGTCAAACTAATTCCTATGGCTAGGTAATATGATTTAGTAGACAACAGTGTGAAGAAATCATGGTGAAAAAGGCATACAGACGTTGGCGCAGTGACATGTTGCGCACAGGCCTATCCTTGCACAGATTCAGGCCAGCAAACGCAGAAACAAGCGCCACGTGCTGCGTAGTTGTGCGAACGAGGTCAAACCAGTTCCTATGGTTAGGTAATAGGATGTAGTAGAGAAATTTGTGAAGAAGTAGTAGTAAAAAAGGCATCCACACGTTGGTGCAGTGGCATGTTGCGCATAGGCCTATTCTTGCACTGATTCAGACCAACAAACGCACAAAGATGCGCAACATGCTGCGTTGTTGAGCGAACGAGGTCAAACCAGTTCCTATGGCTAAGGAATAGGATGTAATCTGGAACTTTGTTAAGAAATAGAGGTAAAATAGACAGCGAGACATTGAATCGACAACATGTTCTGCCCTTGCCAAACCTTTATAGGTTTTCCCGCCCAAACACTTTACCTAGTTTATACAGTAGCATCGGTTAAAAGGTGGCTAGGGTTAAGTCTGGAGTTGAATCCAACATTCTGTTGCATAATTACTACCAAATCCAACAGTATGAAATTAGTTCCATTACATGAAATACATAACAGAAACAAGGCTGTGTTTGGAATGTTCGAAATTGGTTACATAGCGGTAACCTACAATTCCATGACGTGGCCAGCACACCACAAACGGTTCCTCGCCAAAGGACAACCAGTGTGTGGCAAACGCTCCAGACATCCCGCAATCTATCGCAATTACAACCCAGCAAATAAACGACCAATGAAAACGCTCGTAACCACGCAATCGGAAACTCAGCGTAAACCACCTCCAACCACGATTTGTCCTCCACGTGTACAGTGCGTGTCTGCAAACAGTGATAAACGGGGATCAAGGGGGAAAGTCGTGTTTGACTAGAAGAGGCTTCGACAATCTGCTGCAATTCCTCGTCATACTCGATGATAAACTGCCGGGGAAAATGGTGCACCAGATATCACCTCATAAACGATGGAAAACCATCAGCCTCCAACTCGAAAAATGACCCCCTCCCCCCCCCCCCCCCTCCATACTCGGCAGTTTCACATTTTTCTGATGAACAGTACACGTCCCTCGCAGACCCTGCCCCTGTACATCCCTCGAGCCGCCACATGCCATCATTCCTCCTCCCCTCCGCCCTCCCCTCCGCGCACCCCTCCCCTCTCTTGGAATGGCTCGCAAGGATGCCTGCCTATTCGTCTCTCCGACCCCCTCCGTGCAAGTGGAAGGGTACGGGGGTGAGGAGGGTGCAGAGCAGACCTGACAACGCATTGAATTTCTGTGATGCCCCACGACCCACCCATTTTGGAATCCCCCGACAAGAGAGAGGAAACAGTATGGTGGGGGGAGGGTGGGAGGATGTATGGCTTCTTTGGAACATGCATCTTGCTCCGCCTCACTGCACCATTCCCTGCCTATTCCCCCTCTGCCCTCCCCTCTTCCCCTCAATGCTTCGTCATCCCTCTTGTAGCTCCCTCTGCTTTGTCCTCTCCAACAATCCTCCCGTGGAACCATACTCCGACCCCTGCCGCCCCTCTCCCACTCCTCCGCGTATTACCCCCTGCGCTTCAGGGTAAATTCGGCCTTGACACGTCACAAAAAATACACGTCACAATCGCGTGTACTGCTCTGGGCCGGGCTACACCGAATTACACCCAAGTATCAAACATTATCGAAACGTTTCGACGGTATAGAGCGGTATAAAAGATTTATTGACACGAATTTTTGTGACGTGTCAAGGCCCCAATGTACCCTCAGCAGCATCTCTTCCTGCCCATATTTAGTTGCCTGGAGCTGCAGTATGTTTAGTTGCCAGGTTGTGCATTGTGTGGTAGATGGTGGGCAATCCAGAATATTGAAGGTGCTAAAAGGTGATGTTATAGTAAGTGCTTGTTGGCAGCAGTCCTAGCAGCTCACAACAATCCAGAGACAGGCCGCAGCGAACCATAGCCTCACTGCACTTGTTCCGCCACCCTCTCCAACGCCCCTTGTGCCGCTTGGGTCGCAGCGACCCCCCCTCCCACACTCACTCCAACCACACATGCACTCCTCGCCCCTGCAGGCAGTGCTGGCAGCGCTGCCACCGCCTTGGCTGCTGGGGAGACCTGAGCCGCCATGGCTGTTCCTCGGCAGACCCACACCGCGGGGAGGGGGGCGACCCACGTGCAAGCGAGGGAGAGAGGGGAGGTGGAGGAGGAGGAGGGGATGGAGGGAGAGGCGGAGGAGGGGGGTGAGAGGGAGACCTTGACCAACCGAAGGGGTTGAGTGGGGTTGACTACGATGATGAGGTAGTTGATCTTCGCGAGAGTGTTGCTGCGAGGGGGAGGCAAGGGGGAAGGAATAATAGACAGGTTGGGAGGGGTTGACGATCAAGGCAGCGGTACTTGTTTCTCCCTAAGGGTAGTGGTGCAAAAAGGGGAGAGGCAGGTAAGAATACAAAGGACTGGGAACATGGTAGCAAGAGATGGTTGAGGGGGGTAGCGATGACAAGGCAATACATGTTGGTGGGAGTGTTGCTACTAGGGGGGAGTGCGGCAAGAATATGGAGGGTTGATAAGAGAGGCTGCCGATGCTGTAGTTGGTGAGTGGGTTGCTTCCAGCGGGTTCCGACAGAGACATAGCAACGTGCTAAAGTGGCACAATAGCAGTGGCGCTACGCACGTGGAGCATACAGGCATGGCGATAGCGCACTGCTGCCAGCAGTAGCTACATTCGTGCAAAGATGAGCGCCCACGTGGAGGAGACAGACAGGCACTCACGCGGAGGAGACATACAGGCACTCACGCGGAGGAGACAGACAGGCACTCACGTGGAGGAGACAGACAGGCACTCACGTAGAGGAGACAGACAGGCACTCACGTGGAGGAGACAGACAGGCACTCACGTGGAGGAGACTGGCAGGGTGGCGCCTCCCTTGGCTGCTCCTCCCAGTTGGGCTGCTGCAGTGGGGTAGAGCACAGGCGTGAGCGCTGAGGAGACTGCAGGGGTGCACGGGAGGGCAAAGATGGTTCTGAGAATCCTGAACGAGAATCCTGAGAATACTTGGAAGTGGCCAGGAGAGTGCTCCATGAATGCGCATTTGAAATCCAAGGCTGTCTTTTGGTGCTCCTCTTAGCTGCGCTGTGCAGGCGACAGGGGGCAGAGGTGGCGACAGAGGGATCCGGAAGGGAGAGCAGAGGGCAGAGGACCACAGGGTGGTGAGGTGAGGGGACGGGTGTCGGCACGCGATGGGATGATGAGGCACGCGGTGGGACGCAATGGGATGGCGAGGCATGCAACGAGATGGTGAGGCACGCGGTGGGATGGTGAGGCATGCGATGGGATGGTGAGGCACGCGGTGGGATGGTGAGGCCCGCGATGGGATGGTGAGGCACGCGATGGGATGGTGAGGCCCGCGATGGGATGGTGAGGCCCGCGATGGGATGGTGAGGCACGCGATGGGATGGTGAGGCAGCGGTACTCACCAAGTTCGTAGAGAACGAGGGGAGGTGAAGACCTAACAGTGAGCTGGTCGGAACCGCCGGACACGGGAGGACAGTGGAGGAACGGGCAACGACCAGGCCCCCAGAGGGGTCAGCCAGTCTGACCGGGACAGGTGCAGGGAGAGGAGTGAGAGTGGTGGTGTCACGAAAGAAACAGCGCGAGGCGCCTGAGTCCAACGTGAAGGTGTGCAAGGCCTGAGCAGGAGCAGTACCAGGGAGAGGACCAGACTCACTAGCACCTAGAGCAGCAGCAGCTATACCTGGGTCAGGCGGCACACACCGGTAAAAGTCACCCTCAGCACTAACAGACAAAGCATACATAGCACAAAGAATAGCATCAAAGTCTAGGTCAAAGATAGCAATCCTAGACCTAAGCAGATCTGCCCAGGAAGGGAGCTCGACGTCGTCACCAAACTCAGCACGCCAAGCGTCGTCGAGGCGGGAGAAGCAGCGGTGCTGAATGTGAAGCTTCCTGCATGTCTGACCAGCACAAACACCCGTGCGAATGACATACGGGCAACTGCTGCTGCAAACTGCTGCGAATTTCCGCCTGTAAAAAATGGGTCAATCTGATAACCGTGGGTAAATAGGCCTAACAGCAGTGGGCTGGTTTGGGCGCGTAGTATGGCGTGAATTCGGGCTGTGGGCCGGGTTAATGCGTCGGCGATGTTCGATGCCCCCTTTTTGTAGGTGACCGTGTAGTGAAAATTCGACTCGAGGTAGTTGAGCCAGTGGATTTGTCGTGGGTTGAGGTGGGGTTGCGCACGGAGGTACTGTAGCGATTTGTGGTCTGTCCGTACTGTCACGTCGGCGCCGGCCAAGTAGCAGCGCCACACTTTGAACGCATGCACGATCGCAAGCATTTCGCGGTCGTGTATCGGGTAATTCTTCTTGGGTGGATGCAACTTTCATGATTCGTATGCGATGGGCTGTAAACCGTTGCTGAAGTCTTGTAGTAGTACGGCTCCGATGGCGATGTCGCTTGCATCGGTAACCACCTCGAATAGGCGATGTGGGTCGGCGATGCGCAGTACGGGCGGTGAACAGAGAACATTTTTCAAGGTAGAGAAGGCAGCATGCTCTTCCCCCCCCCACGTAAAAATCATCCCCTTCCGCAGTAAATCCGTCAGTGAGGCAATTAAGCGTGCCATGTCGGGGACGAACAGACGCACGTAATTGACAAATCCTAAGAAACTCTGCAGCTCCGTGATGTTCGTAGGGGGGTTCGACGCTTTCACCGTGTCCAGTTTCTTCAGGTCGATTTCGACTCCAGCCTCGGAAATCACATGCCCCAAAAGCTCTTGTCTATCCTGAAAAACTCGCACTTGGAACCCTTGGTCGGTAGTTTGTGTTTGTCTAAGACTGTAAATACTGCTTCTAAATCGGCTAAGTACTGCTGCTTATTCCGAAATTGAGTGAGAAAAGGGATGGGAGAAAAGGGATGTGAGCAATTCAGATATTGAGTGAGGGGGAATTCAAGTGAGGGGAAATGAAGTGAGGGGGAAGAGAGTGAGGGGGAATGGAAGTGAGGGGAAATTGAGTGAGGGGGAATACAAGTGTGGGGAATTGAAGTAAGGGGGAAGAGAGTGAGGGGGGATGGAAGTGAGGGGAAAGGAAATGAGGGGAAATGGAGTGAGGGGAATGGAAGTGAGGGGAAAAAGAGTGAGGGGAAATAAAAGTGAGGGGAAATGTAGTGAGGGATAAGAGAGTGAGAGAGAAGGGAAGTGAGAGGAAACAAAGTGAGGGGGACAGGGATGACGGGGAATGGAAGTGAGGGGAAATTGAGTGAGGGAGAATTCAAGTTAAGGGAAATGAAGTGAGGGGCAAGAGAGTGAGGGGGGATGGAAGTGAGGGGAAATGAAGTGAGGGGGAATGGAGTGAGAGGGATAGGAAGTGAGGGGAAAAAGAGTGAGGGGAAATAAAAGTGATGGGAAATGTAGTGAGGGGGAAGAGAGTGAGGGGGGATTGAAGTGAGGGGAAACAAAGTGAGGGGGACAGGGATGAGGGGGAATTGAAGTGAGGGGAAGTGAGTGATACAAGTGATGGGAATTGAAATGAGGGGGAAGAGAGTGAGAGGGAATGGAAGTGAGGGGAAATGAAGTGAGGGGAAATGGAGTGAGAGGGAATGGAAGTGAGGGGAAAAAGAGTGAGGGGAAATAAAATTGAGGGGAAATGTAGTGAGGGGTGAGAGAGTGAGGGGGAATGGAAGCGAGGGGAAACAAAGTTAGGGGGACAGGGATGAGGGGGAATGGAAGTGAGGGGAAATTGGGTGAGGGGGAATGAAGTGAGGGGGGATGGAAGTGAGGGGAAATGAAGTGAGGGGGAATGGAGTGAGAGGGAATGGAAGTGAGGGGAAAAAGACTGAGGGGAAATAAAAGTGAGGGGAAATGTAGTGAGGGGTGAGAGAGTGAGGGGGAATGGAAGCGAGGGAAAACAAAGTTAGGGGGACAGGGATAAGGGGGAATGGAAGTGAGGGGAAATTGAGTGAGGGGAAAGAGAGTGAGGGGGGATGGAAGTGAGGGGAAATGAAGTGAGGGGGAATGGAGTGAGAGGGAATGGAAGTGAGGGGAAAAAGAGTGAGGTGAAATAAAAGTGAGGGGAAATGTAGTTAGGGGTGAGAGAGTGAGGGGGAATGGAAGAGAGGGGAAACTAAGTTAGGGGGACAGGGATGAGGGGGAATGGAAGTGAGGGGAAATTGAGTGAGGGGAAAGAGAGTGAGGGGGGATGGAAGTGAGGGGAAATGAAGTGAGGGGGAATGGAGTGCGAGGGAATGGAAGTGAGGGGAACAAGAGTGAGGGGAAATAAAAGTGAGGCGAAATGTAGTGAGGGGTGAGAGAGTGAGGGGGAATGGAAGCGAGGGGAAACAAAGTTAGGGGGACAGGGATGAGGGGGAATGGAAGTGAGGGGAAATTGAGTGAGGGGAAATGAAGTGAGGGGAAAGAGAGTGAGGGGGGATGGAAGTGAGGGGAAATGAAGTGAGGGGAAATGAAGTGAGGGGGAATGGAGTGAGAGGGAATGGAAGTGAGGGGAAATTGAGTGAGGGGGAATACAAGTGACGGGAAATGAAGAAAGGGGGAAGAGAGTGAGGGGGAATGGAAGGGAGGGGAAATTGAGTGAGGGGGTATAGAAGTGAGGGGAAATCAAGTGAGGGGGAAGAGAGTGAGGGAGGATGGAAGTGAGGGGAAATGAAATGAGGGGGAATGGAGTGAGAGGGAATGGAAGTGAGGGGAAAAAGAGTGAGGGAAAATAAAAGTGAGGTGAAATAAAAGTGAGGGGTAAGAGAGTGAGGGGGAATGGAAGTGAGGGGAAATTGAGTGAGGGGGAATACAGGTGAGGTGAAATAAAGTGAGGGGAAAGAGGGGGAGGGGGGATGGAAGTGAGGGGAAATGGAGTGGGAGGGAATGGAAGTGAGGGGAAAAAGAGTGAGGGGAAATAAAAAGTGAAGGGAAATGTAGTGAGGGGGAAGAGAGTGAGGGGGAATGGAAGTGAGGGGAAACAAAGTGAGGGGGACAGGGATGTGGGGTAATGAAAGTGAGGGGAAATTGAGTGAGGGGGAATAGAAGTAAGGGGAAATGAAGTGAGGGGCAAGAGAGTGAGGGGAGATGAGAGTGAGGGGAAATGAAGCGAGGGGGAATGGAGTGAGAGGGATAGGAAGTGAGGGGAAAAAGAGTGAGGGGAGATAAAAGTGATGGGAAATGTAGTGAGGGGTGAGAGAGTGAGGGGGAATGGAAGTGAGGGGAAACAAAGTGAGGGGGACAAGGATGAGGGGGAACGGAAGTGAGGGGAAGTGATTAAGGGGGAATACAAGTGATGGGAATTGAAGTGAGGGGGGATGGAAGTGAGGGGAAATGAAGTGAGGGGGAATGGAGAGAGAGGGAATTGAAGTGAGGGGAAGAAGAGTGAGGGGAAATAAAAGTGAGGGGAAATGTAGTGAGGGATAAGAGAGTGAGGGTGAATGGAAGTGAGGGGAAAAGAAGTGAGGGGGACAGGGACGAGGGGGAATGGAAGTGAGGGGAAATTGAGTGAGGGGGAATACAAGTGAGGGGAAATGAAGTGAGGGGGAAGAGAGTGAGGGGGGATTGAAGTGATGGGAAATGAAGTGAGGGGGAATGGAGTGAGAGGGAATGGAAGTGAGGGGAAAAAGAGTGAGGGGAAAAAAAGTGATGGGAAATGTAGTGAGGGGGAAGAGAGTGAGGGGGAATGGAGGTGAGGGGAAACAAAGTGAGTGGGACAGGGATGAGGGGGAATGGGAGTGAGGGGAAATTGAGTGAGGGGGAAGAGAGTGAGGGGGGATGGAAGTGAGGGGAAATGAAGTGAGGGGGAATGGAGTGAGGGTAAAACGAGTAAGTGGAAATAAAATTGAGGGGAAATGTAGTGAGGGGTAAGAGAGTGAGGGGGAACGGAAGCGAGGGGAAACAAAGTTAGGAGGACAGGGATGAGGGGGAATGGAAGTGAGGGGAAATTGAGTGAGGGGTAATACAAGTGAGGGGAAATGAAGTGAGGAGGAAGAGAATGAGAGGGCATGGAAGTGAGGGGAAATGAAGTGAGGGGGAATGGAAGTGAGGGGAAGAAGAGTGAGGGGAAATGAAGCGAGGGGGGATGGAGTGAGAGGGAATGGAAGTGAAGGGAAAAAGAGTGAGGGTAAATGTAGTGAGGGGAAATATAAGTGGGGGGTAAGAGAGTGAGGGGGAATGGAAGTGAGGGGAAATTGAGTGAGGGGTAATACAAGTGAGGGGTAATGAAGTGAGGAGGAAGAGAATGAGAGGGCATGGAAGTGAGGGGAAATGAAGTGAGGGGGAATGGAAGTGAGGGGAAGAAGAGTGAGGGGAAAT